AGAACTTTACTTGGACTATAAACAACAAACACACTGACTGAATACAATCAGAGAACTTTACCAGGACTAGAAACAACAAATACACTGACTGAATACAATCAGAGAACTTTACCAGGACTATAAATAACAAATACATTGACTGAATACAATCAGAGAACTTTACCAGGACTATAAATAACAAACACACTGACTGNTTTGTTGCTGCCATAAGTTGCTGCCAATGTCTGTCTCTGATGGCAGGATTTTGGAGCTCGCTGACTGCCCTCAGAGAAGTCAGCATGTTCTTGACTGTGTTTTCCAGTCCAAGATATGAGTCCCAGGCCCTCATCTCCTTATCTAGAGTTCGGATGTCCTTGGCAAATTTCTTGCTGTCCATGTCCATCTGGTCCACATTGATAGACTTCCATGGTGTGGTCTTCCAGTCATCAACACTGCTGCGTACCATGACAATATAATCCCAAAGGGTCTTTAGTAGCTTAATCTCTTTACGACACTGCTTCAATTGCTTGAAGTCAGGCACATTGACTTCAAACAACCCAGCAGAATCCAACAAGTCACTCATTTCTTTTTCCATGGTAGCAATCTCTTCATGGTACTGAAATTATCAATTATATTAGTTTTAACACAGTCTTAACAATTTCAGAAAAATAGGGAATTACCTTTAATCTATGTACTTTTTCATTGTACAGCCTCTAAATAAATTACAAATGAAAGTATGCTACCAAAACCTATTATGAATTGGTAAAAATTGTTTGTTTACCATTTATCATGATCCAAAAGAATGCACCTTGTAACAGTTCTTTTTTGTGTTGAATGTGGATTTGCATCTTTTTGACATTCATGATGGTATGCAACACAGTTCTGCTAAAAGGTATCTCCAAGATCCACTATGCATTAAAATCTTTTGACTTATTAGTAATATAATCTTCCCAACATTGTAGGTAAGACAGAAAAATCTCAAACCAAGGGCCAGAGGCTTTGCAAAAGGCCAGACATTTAAGAGGGTTGGGATTTTACTGTCTTACTCCTTAAGTTGGGAATGATTATTCTTCTTCCACATCAATACTAGTGGTAATTTCATGAAATGCAAACGTTTATTTCATAATTTCCATTAGATCCGAGTTATCTTCCATGATCTGCTATTGTTGATGTGAGGTCATACTATTGTTATGACACAGGGGAATTCCCCCGTCTTTACCCTGGTGTAAGACAGAAATTTCTCCCACCCTTCACAGGTGTGTCTTCCATTTTAGCTTGGAAAGATCAGCTTGTCATTCCCTAGGGGAGAAAGTCTCGTGCCGATAAAGATGTGTTCAATTGTGACGTCATTTAAATGTGTAACCGTATTGGTGACATCATCAAAAGTGAATGACGATATTCATACCCCATATGTGTTTTTGTTTAAAACACGGCAGACTACTGTCCATGGAGATGTGACTGAAATAATAGGATGAGAGAAAAATAATCACCCCCTACCTTGAGGGTGTAACAGAGAAATCTCCAACCCTCAAGGTGATTTTTTATGGTTGACTCACCCTCGGCAGAGCCTGGGGTTAGACAACCAAAAAACATCACCCCTCAGGTAGGAGATATATCTGTCACACCGTCAAGGTAGGGGAAGATTCTATTAATCTTTCCCTGACCAGAAGTGTGGATATCTGTCCAATGGTGGAGAAAAAGTGAACATGATACAGAAATGTAAATAGTTACTTTGTCTATATGTTGGTACGCCTTTTCACAGTCATATTTGAAAGGTGGTATGCCTCGGAATTTTTCTCTGAACTTGTGCTGGTTTACATCAAAGGTTGCTGTTTTCCTGCGAATGTTGGCCACTTCTGTGGCTTGCAATGGTGCCACCTGTTGTTTGACGGTGATGCCAATCTTTTTGGTGTTGTTCCACTGTTCTGGCAATTCCTGACAGCAAATAATAGTTATGCGTTATGAAATCCTTTACCAAAATGTCATGCTTAGATGTACATATTTACTTATTTACTTATATTTACTTTATTTCCAGATAAATTTCAAAAATACAAGTATTTATTGAAATATGGTATCCGCTTTGTACAGAAAGATCTATTGCTGTAAGATCTTGCAAGATCAAGCAGACACATGACCTTCTTCTGTAGAAACAATATGGCAACATAAATAAAAGAAAAACATTGGAGGGTGAATACTGGCAGGGGGTGGTGCATTGTTTACCTGGAGCTGCAAATGAACTTCTTCTGGCATTTCTTGATCATAGGTCTTGAGAAGTTCAATTGTCTGCTTCAAAGGTTCAAACATTTCATCTGTAGTGGCCTGTCTCTCCTTGACAGCAAATAAATAGCCCATGCAGTCAACCAGTCCGGTGTAGTCTCCCTCCTCAACAAGCTTGGTCAATCCTCCATCAGTTGACTTGATGAAGTCACCCAGTTCACGCAAGCTACAACATACATCAGCAGATCAGACAACTATTGACATCTTACTTATTGATACACTGATGGTTTGTTTTACACAATTCCAATGGAATGGGGAATTTTACAAAAACGAATATATCCTTTTCAGAAAAAGAAACCATAAATATTGAATTATAAAGTTGTTGATGTTTATAGCTAGCCCACCTGTTGGTCACGTGGTCAATCAGATGCTGTTTGAACATGAAGCTCCATCTCTTGATTGTGTTAAGAAGAGCTTGTTTGAATGGCTTTGAGTTGACTCTGAACCAGGTTTCAAATATCGTAATTGGTTCTACCTGCTCAGCCTCTTCATATATTTTCTCATATGTGTCAATCTGAAGATAAACAATTCATTAATGTTAGATAAAAAAATCATTAATATTAAATACAAAATACATTTATAAATGTTATGGATTATTATTATTTATGAAAATTAAAAGACATGTAAGCACAACTATTTAGATAGTGAAAGAAGAAAACGACCCTCTCTTAAGTATTAGTTCTGATTTCCATAACATAAGCATGATTTCATCAATGTTTGGTCCACAAGTAACTTACATAATGTCCTTTGCATTCTGTGATCTCTTATGGCCCAACCCCCTGTGTGAGTCAACTCTTTCGTGGACCCCCTGTGTGAGTCAACTCTTTCGTGAGAACAGAGCCCGATCCTTATCATCTATGGATACCTTTTTTTACCTAGTGTTGGTCAAAATCTTGAAGCATTCAGAAGAGCTCTTATTCTAGAATCTGACCCTCATAATTTTAGGATCGTTTTGCAAAATGTTGATCTAAATTCACCGGTGTGTCTCCCGTTTTGCCGGGAAAGATCAGCTTAGTGTCACCCCTAGGGGAGATAGCCTTGTGCTGATTAGTACGTGTTTAACTGTGACGTCATTAAAATGTGTCACCGGTAATTATGATGTCATCAAAAACGAATGAGCCGAGGGTTAGACAACCAAAAACAATCACCCCATGGGTAAGAGATTTCTCTGTCACTTTCTAAAGGTAGGAGAAGATTCTATTAATCCACACTATATCTAGGCTGATGATTACTCCAAAGTTTCACTAAAATTTTAAGAATGGTTTCTGAGGAGAAGTAGAAAATATAGAGCGGGTCGGGTATTACTGAACCAGAGACAGTTACTGAACACTATTTATGAATTGCATTTATTCTTATATAGTTGGTGTTTTATGTGCGTGCCAACACATCAGCATTCCTGATCACTGACAATATTGTCCACTAGCAGTGTGGGTGAAAAATCAACCACTGCATGAAGTTGTTGTCCCATGTTTACTTCCGTATTACCTCGCTATTTTTAGCATATTTGCATATACACAGGAAGTGATGGCTAAGCCAATGAGCCTCCATATTAATGGAAACATCAAAACTTATGACAATGTCAATGCATAGGTATGGAATAAGAAAACACAAAAAGAACAATCATAAGCTCTTGAGGTAACGGAAATGTTCATTTAAGAACTGCTTGATTCAATTTATAGACCTTTGATGGATAATAGAAATAACAGAACTGTTGAGTAATATCCTCAATGGTGTTCCTTAACTGGCGACTGATTCAGTAATACCCTCAATGGTGTTCCTTAACTGGCGACTGATTCAGTAACTACCTCCACGTAACGTAATAGAACGAACTTTATAATGACGTTATATCTCCCTCCAAATCAAACCCAAAATTGGTAGAAATAAGGCCTTATAGTGAATTTATGTTGCTATACACACCTGAGTGCGTAAAAACACACTTCTTTGTTGTTAACAGGTTTTCCCCTTAAGTGTTCAGTAATACTCAACCATGCTCTACTTGTTTGCGGACAGCACACAATGAAACACAATTGTAATAGGCCATCTTATGACTCAGGTGACCTAAAAATGTAGATTTTTCATCAATTTATATGTAATTCACCTGTTCTTTGAATTGCTTGAGAGTTGGAGGATTTTCTGGTACACCTTCTTCAGCATGAGCCTCAATTTCTTCTGTTGTGAGGACATGGTTATACAGCAGGAACTGACGCATGAACTCATTCCTGTCATCTGTCCAAAGATACGAGTAGTTATCAAAGGAATTTCTGTATTCACAGGCTTTGTTCATAATGTTTGTTATGCGGTCCATCAGTTCCTGACGCATTTCTGACAGTTCTTCCATGTCCTCGAGATCGGGCTGATAGTGTTCCTGCCCACTGTGTGCAGCCAGACGAGGTATCAGAGATGCTTGTTTATAGATGTCTCCAATCAGTCCATCTACAAGGTCATAGAAACCATCAGCCACACCATAGTCTAATGATGGCTGGAAGATCATCTCTGGGGCTTGGAGTTCCAGCATGGCCTCAAACAGAGAGTCAGGGTTATTCTTGCTGTCTGTGTTGTCTAACATAAATTTCACACTGCAGTGTATGGTGGCATAAAATCCATCTACAATCATTTCATCCACATAGTCAACATAAGCCTTCCATATATCAGAAGAGGCATCTGCTTTGAAGAACTCAAGGTTTTTCTGAAAATAGAAAATTATGTTATCATTTTTAAATTGTATTCATCATGAGTGATAATATATAATGTGTTCATATTGTTCCAAAGTCAAATTTGTGCTTTCCAATTCCAACTAATAAACATTAGTATTAAACTAGTTTTACAGAGGTTTAATAATGATACAACACTTTCCTAGATTTAAACTGCTGCAATCCCTACCCCTTTCAAAGCACAAAGATAAAGCTAGTCGGGCATTTTTCATTTTTTGTTGCTGATCCATGTTTGCCTACCTTGAGAAGCTCATGTATCTTGTTTCCAATGTTTTTAATCTCTGTGTACCGCTTGTTGATACGGTCTTTCCTGTCCTCGAGGTTGAGGAGGGTCTCATGCTTGTCTTCCTTTCTTTCAAACAAAGGCTGTTTGCTCCAGGTGTTCATCAGTTTCTTAATCTCTTCCACATTATCTTTGGCTTTTTGTACTCTGGATTCTAAATCTATCACATGGTCTCTTGTCTTTTCGATATACTCCCATACACCTGTGGGATACAAAAAAGCAAGACTCTGAAATTGTATTTGTATTTAACTTTAGTTATATATATTTAATGGTACCACAAATTATACATGAGAAATTCAAATCTTGTGTTATGTCTTCTTAAGTAGATCAGAACATTAGGAGTACGAATAGCAACACATCTTCAAAATTCCAGGGGGTTACTCTCAATTACATTCTCTGTAGCCCTGGATAGATCATGGCAGCATGGAAGGCATAAAGTTAGCTATTTGATTGGTGTCAGGTATAAACAAGAGGCCCAGAGGGCTTGTATCTCTCACCTGGATAATAAAGCAACCATGGAAAAAATCCACTATTTGGCCCCCTGCACCCACACCCTCCATTTATACAAAATTAAGTCCCTTTGCACAAGGATGCTCCAGGCAAAATTTAATCAAAATCCATAACTGTTCAGGTCTAGAAGCATTTGAAAGGTTGACTGATGGACAGACGACGGACGCTGTGGTACGGCATAAGCTCACCATGGCCCTTCGGCCCAGGTGAGCTAAAAAACTGACCAATTGCTAAGCTGAAACCTGTCCTTTTAAGATTACAGAGAAGTGACACCCGACTTTAAAGCAAGTCAGTTTTAATATTATGTCACCACATGATTCTTTTGATGTACATCAAAGGATCCAACTAGTATACTTGTATCATCTATAAGGTGGTGTATATAGAACCTTCAGTTTTGTCATGTCATTTTCCAGGAGTAAAGAGAATGTAACCCATAGAAGTTTGAGGATGCAGCAACATGACTTCTGATAATGTCAATTGTGGTATAATTAAAATCTAATAGAAAGTCATGTCTTGTGTAAGTACCTTCCCCATTCCAGTTCAAGGTCTTCTCAGCCTGTTCCAGTTCCCTATCTATGTCCTGGAGCTGGCTCTCTATCAGAGGGAACTCTACTTCCAGAACAGTCTTGCGTACTTTGTTGTACAGGTGTACAGTCAGATCTAAGTTTGTCACAAACTTCCAAAGAGTGTCATTCCTTGTAAAAATAGTACTGGCACTTTCAGGTATCTCCTCCTTTTCACGAGAATCCAAATACTTCACTTCTCGCAGCACAGCTGTCAGCTGGGGATCAAAGTTCACAGACACTAACTTGGTTTCTTCATTTCTCATCAACAGTGACTGGCTAAGATTGAAAGAGCAGGCTTCGCTGACACCTGCTACCCATTCCTTGTATATTTCCTCATCCCATCTGGAGGAAATAATAAAGATATGTACTAATAACATAAAAATTAAGCTCATGAAATCTAAAAAAAATGTTGCTTAACTAAATTCAGCAAACAAGTATTTAAAAAGTCAATCAACAGCTTTTGACCAAATTAATTTAGTGCATAATGGATCTATTGAGGATTTGACAACAAAGCCTCAATATTTATAACTATACACAAATGTAGGTAGTCGAGTCAATCCATTTTGATTGTGGGAGTATCTTTCTATTGATTGGATGAACTAATTTGGTAAATTTTCATTCATAAAGTGGGTTTGTATTGAGATTTTTATGAAAGCACTCCTTTGCACAAATAATAATGCATATTTACACAAAAACATACTACATATATTTTTATTGACACACAAAATGTAACTTGTTTCTTAAAGCTGACCATGCAAGTTAAAAAGCTTTCAATTGAGATTTAAAAAAAAAAAAAAGGTTTTGTTTTGAGATCATCCCAATCTTTTCTGACTATCGTTTCTAAGGAAGTGCCGACATTTAAGATAGTCCTTGCTTGATAACAAGTATGGGTCTCGCTGGGTATAAAAAGCGCATTACCAGTCAAACTGGTTATCATTTGTTCAACGTGTGTGTAAGGTGACACTGCTATACTATATAGATAGAACACTTTCATGATTTTGAACCAACATTTTTTAACAGATCATTTGAATAAAATAGAAATGAAACACATCAAGGATATCTTTTATCTAAGAAAAGAAAGTGGAAATAATAGTGAAATATGACCAATAAAAATATCTAATGCACAATTCTTAGCCCCAAAAAAAATTCACAAAACAAATGGCCCTTTGAGATATCCAACTAGTAATAACATCCTGTGTGAAAACAATACTAATTCCAATTATTTCAGTGAGAACGGTTCAATTATCTAATTTCATATAGTTGACTTCACACCTGGGAGTGTCGCATTTTGCACGTCTTTTGCTAGTAAAGCGTCTACACGACAAGACTAATTAATAGTTCATAAGTTTTTGTGTGTGAGTGTAGTTCTATGCACATATAAGACCGATGATATATATGGGATTTTTTAAAGTATTTTCAGTTATAAACCTTTTGTTTCGGATACATAATTTTCGTGAATGTGCTATACGTAACAACCAGCTTGTCAGTGTTTGAAAGTCTTCAGATGAGTGAGTTTAATTTTGATATCGGTTGCCAATCAGGGTGCGAGGTGCATTGAATTGCAAGACGGACAGTTGTAGAATGATTTATAACCGGTTCGACAGGTAATGCGCTTTTTATACCCAGCGAGATCCATAATCGTTACCAAGCAAGGAAAAACTAAAATGTCGGCACTTCCTTAGAAACAATAGATGGAATAAATGGGGGAGATCTCAAAACCAGATTTCTTTTTTAAATCTGAATTGAAAGCTTTTTAACTTGCACTGTCAGCTTAACAATAAAGTATATTTATATATTTTTGGTCAAATCTTCACCAGACTGTCTGGAGTCTCAAATACACAACTGAATTGTGGATACTGATGAAAAACAGTTGTGCATTGAAGCAATCATCGTCTGATGCTTATTCAACCAACCACTTGTTCTGTTGAACAACACTGTCTCAAACATCCTGAAAAATGCATTTGTAAATGTGCACTTGGGGTGGAAGTCATTTGTTTTAATAGTCAACTGCTGTCAAAATTCACTGAACAGCCAATTTTAAGTGACTGGTTGGACAATAGAGACAACAGGGCAGAATGTTTATTGATACTGATAGTTTAAGTATACTTAGCCTTTTTAAGCAATGAATAATAATAATTACAATTTTGTGAAGTATAAACTTGATAATTAACTTCTTAACAACTTGGTTAATAAGAAATAGAAACTGCACTCCAGAAATACAGAAAACACTCAACACTTACCCACTGAGAAGTTGCAACATTTCTTCATATTTGGTGAAAACCAACTTTGCATCTTCCGACTGCATACATCTGTTGTAATCAGAACAGGTTTAGATGACATCAGACAGCCATATGATGTAAATTGTCAAATTTAAATTAATTTATTATTCATTTACTGAAATGTGAAGATGCACTATATATAACCAATATCAGAACATAAATGATCTGGGATATAAGTGAAAATTAAATGGTTATATGTATGACAAAGAGAATGGAAACAAATATGTTCAGGCAAAATGGTACTGTAGACCTCTGAAGCAGTACTCTAGACCGCTTAAGCAGTACTCTAGACCTCCCAATCGATACTCTAGACCTCCTAAGCAGCACTCTAGACCTCCTAAGCAGTCCTCTAGACCTCCTAAGCGATACACTAGACCTCCTAAGCAGTATTCTAGACCGCTTAAGCAGTAATCTAGACCTCCTAAGCAGTCCTCTAGACCTCCTAAGCGATACACTAGACCTCCTAAGCAGTATTCTAGACCGCTTAAGCAGTAATCTAGACCTCCTAAGCAGTCCTCTAGACCTCCTAAGCGATACTCTAGACCTCTTAAGCAGTACTCTAGACCGCTTAAGCAGTACTCTAGCCCTCCTAAGCAGTACTCTAAACCTCCTAAGCAGTACTCTAGCCCGCTTAAGCAGTACTCTAGACCTCCCAATCGATACTCTAGACCTCCTAAGCGATACACTAGACCTCCTAAGCAGTATTCTAGACCGCTTAAGCAGTACTCTAGGCCTCCGAAGCGGTACTCTAGACCTCATAAGCAGTACTCTAGACCTACTAAGCGGTACTCTAGACCCCCTAAGCAGTACTCTAGACCTCTTTAGCAGTACTCTAGACCTCTTTAGCAGTACTCTAGACCTCTTTAGCAGTACTCTAGACCTCTTTAGCAGTACTCTAGACCTCTTAAGCAGTACTCTAGACCTCCTAAGCAGTACTCTAGACCTCTTAAGCAGTACTCTAGACCTCTTAAGCAGAACTTGAATTTCTTAAAACTGAACATATCTGTTCTTTAGTAATGCATCTGGTATGTAGAAAAAGACATACCATAAAAATTGATAATTGTCAAAAACTATAAATAATGAAAGCACACTCACTGATGTTCCAAATGTTTAAAACTACTCATTGGAATGGTAATCCTCTCCCTAATCTCCTGTGCCCACCTCAGGCTACCAGACACTTTAGGCATATTCTTGTGTATAGCAGCCTTGCCTGTACCTTCTTTAACCTCCATCTGCTTATCATAGATAACTTTAACCATGTCTAATTCTCTGTGCAGTGTTGCAATGACCATGGGATATTTCTCTTCAAAGTCCTTCTTAATCATCTCTCTCTCCAGCAGACTGCCCATAATGTCCAGCAGCTTCAAACAGATTAATCATCAGATGATGTTAGAGGTATACATACAGGAAACATGATATACAGAGGAAATTGGGGTTATTGAAGCATTTAGGTTATAAGGTTTTAGATCAAATGCTTGGCATGTCAAAATTATTAGCTAAACATGTTCTTGGAAATGCTAAATTTTAACACAAACAGTAACTGAAAACTTATTTTGAAACAAGTTTTCAGTTACTGCTTGTGTTAAAAACAAACTTATTATTATTCATACCGAACTGATGAATGTCATTCCGAATAAACATGTTTTTGTTTGTTGTTTTATTGGATGTTAAAAAGAGATTCAATTACAAAGGAATGTGTGAGACAAACACTAACTATCAGCTTGGCTTGAACCTTGTTTGAACCATGTTTTGTGTCATGCACTGATGTCAGGCTGCAGATCTGTTAGGGTTCTGTCAGAACATTGCTATCTTAATGATGTACATGTATAAACCTACCTTAAACTGAGCTTCCAGTCCCGAACAGTCATCAAATCCTTGACAGATGATGGTAGCAAGTCTTCTATCAAAGTCAAACACTTTCTCCAAGAAAGAATTGTAGTCATCATGAAACTCCTGAAACACATATTTACATCAAAAAGTGGAAAGAGACATCTTCAATATATATATGTGTATTTCAAGACAAAATAATCAAAATTCAAAAGTATGATGCCAGGTTTTCATCATTTTTATTTTAACATACATTTTTGCTGGTAAAGTAAAAACCTGCTTTTACTGCTGACCACAACGGGGACAAAATTAATTAGTCAGAGATGACTGTTAGTAAAATCAGGCTATAAGAAAGCAATGTATGGGATGATAAGGGTATGGTAAAATATTACAGGCTAATTGTTTATATTGAGTCTTCATTTAAAAAAAGAAAAAGAAAGATAAAAAGTGCCAACTCACATTACTCGCTGGGTCAAGACAGTCGTAGTTCTTCTCTGTGAACACCTTGTATTGGGCATTGAACTCTTCAAACAGCTGTACGACTTGTTGACTGAGCATCTTACCCTTGATTCCACCTAATTCTATTTTCTCCAGCTTCATGAATTCCAGAGCAGTCTCCATCAATTCCTTAAAATGAACACAACTTTTTTTAAAGGAAACTGTAAATATACACCATATTTATCAATATCTATATATAGCTACTTAACAATGCTGTTTTAAATGCAGCAAAGAACTGCTGTGACCTATAAAAATATATTTCACAGAGCAGGTTCAGAATCTTTAACAATGCCTTCTCCTGAGCGAGGGACCATGTACATCCTGCTAAATTTGATGCCTCAACACCACCAATGCTGCCCATTTTTGTCCAATCCAGAGAAGCATGTACAGTTGTGGGATCGCACAATGTTACACGATGTGCGGTGTGCGCACGATGTGTGCACAGTGTGTGAACGATGTGTGCACGAAGTGCGAACGATAAAAAAATTGGACTATCATTGCTTGCGCACATTTGTGCGGACGATCGACGAACGTTATGCGATAACAATCACGGTTGGTGTAAATAGAGGAATGGCTTAACAATAAATATGGTTTCGTGTTTATTCAAGCTACATCTATAAGTTTATCTTTCTGTCTATACTTTCTTAAATTTAGAAATGGTGATTTCGGTGTTTTTAAAGGACTTAATTAATCGACATATGTAAAATTACAACACAGTCTCAGCAACACAGGTAAACATAGCCACTTAAACCTGGACCGTAGTTTTCCCCTGCCCTGGGCACTTACGTAACTCGCCAAGGTGTGAAAACCAGGTGAAGGGGAGCTATAAAGCGAATGCAAATAGCAAAGATTAATCGTCCAGTTGTGTTTTCATAATGGTCATACAGTATCACATATCAGCTCTATATGTCAGACAAAGGCCAGGTAAAACTCTGGTCACTCATCAAATTGTTATTTACCGTATTTTTTCATTACGTAATATTGATCAACAAATTGTACCAAATCGCAGAGTTGTGCGGAGAGAAGCGCACAACAGGGCGAACGATTGTCAAATCGCACAGTTATGCGCACCATGTGTGGACGATGTGCGGACGGTGTGAACGACGTATGCACAGTGTTTTTGGTGCGTTGTGCGGTCACACAACTGTATATACCATTGCTATTTGGTTAATACAGTAAATTTCATTTAATATCAAATTGCTTAATTAATGTCACCACCCATTGCATGGCACCTTTTTTCCTGCTATTTAATCTGTTATCATCATCAATACCCTTTTTAATGTGGATTTCACTTAATATCACTTTATTTTGGCCAGTGTCACATGAAAATCACAGGTAAATGATGGTAATTATCAGAACCCATGGTTCATGCCCCTGTGATCTGCTGTCACACCTGGACATGTTATGTAAACACTATCCTCTCTTTTAATGTCACATTTTGGTTAATATCATGTTTTCACTCTGACAAATGAGAAGTGATATTAGGGTAAAACTACTGAACAAATATATACAGACACATACCAGAAAAGATTGGTTTACTCAAGTTTTAAATCCCAAAATCAGTTCATTCCTGTTTCATGGTCTTTTTGATTTATCATGCATGCAATGAAGAAAAGTTCAAACTTGGTAAACCTGTGTCATGCGGTACAGACCCTGTTGAGTTCCACCTGTTATATAACATTATAAGCCAATAATGGGGCAATATTTGGGGGTAATCATCATTGCAACAGCGGAACAAGAGTACCGCCGGTGGAACAATATACGCCCATCAAATGCCATATAGTGTTATATACTTTCTTACATTGAAATAAGATCTGCATCATTCTAAGAGTGGTAAGCTGACATGCTATAAAAAAAATGTAGATGAAAATCTCCAGACAAAAAATCAAATACTAAAATGAACAAAGGGCAACAACTTTTGCAAAAATCATCGAATCAAAATTCGTTTAAGGGAGACACAACTTCATATCATGATTATTTAGCCTACTAAGTTTCAACAAAATCCGTCGCAATATGTAGGAGGAGATCTTCGGACCAAAAATCAAATACTGAAATGAACAAAGGGCAACAACTTTTGCAAAAATCATCGAATCAAAATTCTTTTAAGGGAGACACAATTTCATATCATGATTATTTAGCCTACTAAGTTTCAAAAAAATCCGTCGCAATATGTAGGAGGAGATCTCCGGACCATTTTGGTTATGCGAGTGTCCTGCTAGGCAACATAGCCTTTAACCTTACGATATCCTCCATCTGATTGGATGAAGTACACTGGCGGGTTTTCATTCTTGAAATCGGGTCTGTTAAGAGATGTTCATGACAGCACTCTCGCGCGAAATTAACATTCAATATCAGCTAAACTGCACATTAAACATGTTTATGTTAGCACACATATCGTTTCTAATTCCTCATCAATATCAAAAGCCTTTGATAACATCCCTGAACTTCTCAATGCCAAAGTACTAACGACAATAATACTAGTCTGTTTTTAGGCAATATGCTGTCAGCTTTATTAAGCTCAATTTTTTAACTGAATTCTCTTTTCAGTTTTGATCGTAAAAGAAAGGAATTATATATGTGAACCCATCTGTTGGACCACCACAGAAACTGCTATAATTTTACCGACAATATCTTTCATAAAAAGTTTGCTTAAATCATGGTTATTAACGAAAACCCAGTCGTGTAATTTGAGAACTTCAACAGGTCTTTTGCAATATTTTGTTCTGAGTGAAATGACAATTCTTCTCAAACACTCCTAGTTGTTTGTTTATACTGTCATAATTATCACTCGACTATTGTTAAGTTATTCACCTGACCTGTTGAAGGATGTTGTTTTAAACTACCTGTACATACAAGTGTAAATTTGGGCTTGGGGTGGTGGTCTGTTTACAGTTAACTGAATAAGGAGTCGTTTGGTTATAGTCGGTTGTGTAATTCTGTACAAACTATGTTCAACCTTTATTAAACGACCGTTTTTTTTTTAATTTTCCCTTGTTTAGTCACTTAATACAGATTCCACTGTATGTAATAAAACTTTGAATATTTTGGTGTGGTTACCTAACTATTAAATTTCCCTTGTTTAGTCACTTAATACAGATTCCACAGTATGTAATAAATCTTTGAATTTCCCTTGTTTAGTCACTTAATACAGATTCCAATGTATGTAATAAATCTTTGAATTTCCCTTGTTTAGTCACTTAATACAAATTCCACTGTATGTAATAAAACTTTGAATATTTTGGTGTGGTTACCTAACTATTAAATTTCCCTTGTTTAGTCACTTAAAACAGATTCCACTGTATGTAATAAATCTTTGAATATTTTGGTGTGGTTAACTATTAAATTTCCCTTGTTTAGTCACTTAAAACAGATTCCACTGTATGTAATAAATCTTTGAATATTTTGATATGGTTAACTATTAAATTTCCCTTGTTTTAGTCACTTAGTACAGATTCCACTGTATGTATTAAATCTTTGAATATTTTGGGGTGGTTAACTATTAAATTTCCCTTGTTTTAGTCACTTAGTACAGATTCCACTGTATGTATTAAATCTTTGAATATTTTGGGGTGGTTAACTATTAAATTTCCCTTGTTTAGTCACTTAATGCAGATTCCACTGTATGTCATAAATCTTTGAATTTCCCTTGTTCATAAGTCACTTAATACAGATTCCTCTGTATGTAATAAATCTTTGAATATTTTGGTGTGGTTAACTATTAAATTTCCCTTGTTTAGTCACTTAATGCAGATTCCACTGTATGTCATAAATCTTTGAATTTCCCTTGTTCATAAGTCACTTAATACAGATTCCACTGTATGTAATAAATCTTTGAATATTCTGGTGTGGTTAACTATTAAATTTCCCGTAAAAAATGGTTATGATGTCTTTATAAAAATGTGTTCAGTCATTGTTATTATATTAACCAACCCTTTTTGACCAAAAGATGCCAACGACGACAAATAATATTTCTTAAATTACCTTCACAGTTTCGACTCTCTCAAGGAATTTGTCATATCTTGCAAATACTAGTTTGGGAGCAAATTCCCATAGCCTTGGTTCAGTTCCCTCTGGAAAGTAGCTCTTCAGTTTGTTCTTATGGTCCTCATAGGTGGCCTTAAAGGCATTCAGAACATCGCAAGCTTTGCGTACTTTTTCAATTGTTTCTTCCAGTTCTCCCTTAAAGATCTCTGTAGGTTCCAAGTAGTTTGATGCCTACAAGTTTACAGAAAAAAATATAAATGAAAACCTTAATAAATAAAATGTTTACTGCTGTAAACATACTTATATTGGCACACTCAAATTTTAGCATATCTATGATCAAACTTTAATAGTTAAGTACACTGATGAATTGGGGCACACAAAGAAAATACTATAGACATGTACAAGAATGACCATTTGCGCATTCCTTACTTAGCACAATAATTAAAGCATGAAAAGCGCTAAAATATGTATGTTTACAGCATTACCAGAACATTGTTTTTTTCTATACTCCTCATGTTGATAAACCGCATCTATTTGCCCACAAGGGTTTTTCATATTTCAGTATAATTTCCATGGGAATTACTTTTTGTCATTACAGGAGCACTGCATACTTTAAGTAAAATGGGAATCAAGAAGCAACAGAATAAGATTTAATGGTTTCTTTTTTCAAAACCTTGCCTATATAAAATGCCATGATGGCAATCTTCTTACAAACATATAACTAATTAATGGCCTTTTGTGACTCTGTGAGGCAAGCACGTATGAAGTTTATTTAGTTTAGAAAAAACCCGGGGCAACACAAACTCTGGACAGACACTCTACCAATTGAGCTACCAGCTGGTCACTGATGATCGACCGAGTCAAGTTATGCTACACATGTATAATTGTTTATCCCATGTAACCTGACTAAGAAATGTACTTTTCAGGATAAAATTGTAATATTTTTTGTCTAATGCTTAAATAAATTTGCTGTCAAACACACACACAAAATTAAATCGGACAAGACTGGAAGAACTGCTGAGCTGCGTTTACAAAATGACTTCTTAGCACTAAGTATAATGTACTTTATATACGATAGAGTTGAAATCACGATTCAATCTGAGTTGTCAACCTCCAGAGATGCCAATGTTGGAGATTTACCTACGATGACTTTTTTGATGTGGGAGATTTAGTGTGATGATATTTCACTGACAAGTTTCCATAAAACAAAAAAATTGTTAAGACTCAATAGATGGTGTTCTGATCCCTCTACAGAACAAAATAATAAAATATTAGTGATATAGAGTTATCCTAGTTTGAAAATAAAAATTGTTTCCTTTAATAATTGAACAATTTTCTTTAGATTAAACACAATTCGAACATCATGGAAAGAATGAGAAAGTCGTCAGGGGCATCAGAGGGTTTTGACTGAGAAGGTGTTAGGGTACAAAAGTATAATCAGTATATAGCTAGACAATTGGAATGATGATCCCTTCACAGACATGGTTTTAAAACATGGAAAATTCTTAGGATATGTTCCTCTCACTACACTCCTCAAAGAATGGTCATAATGCTTATCCTTAGATTGGCAAGATTGAGCATCTTATACAGTTTAGAATAAGCTGATGATGTTTATACAATGTAAAGAATAATTATACACACCAAATTGATCATCATGTTACACATCTCCTTCAGCAAGACGATGATCCTAGCTGGTGTGTTGTAGTACTGAGAGTGAGACCAGACCAGACACACTGTCTGCATCATAGGGGCCAGTAATGGAATGCTCTCATCAAATTCAGCCTGTTCATAGTCCTCAAAATGGTGACGCAGTGGTGTCATGTACATATTGATATCTTGTGCTTCAGTAAGGGCTGAAAACATATATATACATGTGACATTTACATTATGTGTATTAAAGAAAATTAAATTAACTGTTAAATTATTATCTAAGTTCACTTCAAAATAATGTATGGATCATTTATAAAAATTACCTTAGGAAATGGCATTTTATTTTATAAATGATGTCTAAAAAAAAGTTTTTTTAATATTATATTTGTTAAACGTACCAGCCACTACATCTCTGAAGATGTCTTTGAAAGTAGGGAAATAGCTACTCTGAGTCCGCTCCAATAACTCTGCCATCTTTCTGACTTTTGAGTCCCGAAGCTAAGAAAACATAACATACAATACGTTTTTAGTGCTGTTGCAGAAAGAAGGAAAAGACATATAGCAGAAATTAATTAACTACTCCTTTATCAACTATATCATAATACAAACAATTTCAAAATACTGGTCTGCATACCTGTTATATATAACTATAATATTTTATTGTAGGGGTAAAATGTTTGGTTGAAATTTGGTCACATTTCCCATATATTCCCGAAATGAAATTATATAAACAAAATCTGTTATGATGCATCATTGCATATTACATTAATTCAATTGTACATTTTTTGTAAATGAACTTTGTTAAAAAACAGGTTTCTTGTCTTTTAAGAGTTTTGTAGGCAGAAAGTACATTTATTTTGTAAACAATGATAAAAAAGCACAAATAAAAATAAACCTACCATTATGACTTTTCAGAAACACAAGACACATTTTTATGATATATGTTAATATAAATGGCTCTTTATATTGATTCACTATGTGAGCCGAATAAATCTGTTACCTGGTCATATATACATTCCAAATTGGTCGCCTTGTTTTTCCAAAACTCAATTTCCACAAATGGTGTTGGGTGGAGACCTTCAAGGATGGGCTGGGCAGAATCCCTCTTGAGGACGTCTCTGATTTGGTGAGTCCACTCAATGATCACAGACTCAATTGCATGAATCAATGTTCTGTCAAAGGAATCCCTAGTTGGTAGAAGAAACAAGCCAAAAATCAAAATTCCATGCAATTTCATGATCGGACCTTTACATTTTGATAATCTGAATCAAAGATTGACTTACCAACAACCTGTACCATATGTTGGCTCAATTTGAGTCATGATCACCATGTATTATGAAGCAGATATATAGTTACTTATAACCTTAAGCAAAGCTTGACTAGCCAAAAATCTGAAACATTGAAGGACTTACCAAGAATGTAAAGCAATGATTGCCATACCAAGAAAATGAATTTGAAGTGCTGATTTTCTCAACAATTTATGATACTATAAGAATGAATATATATCATACATGTTGCACATCATATACAGCATATATATGCAATACACATAACGTGACGCTACCACAATTGGTACAATTTTGACAGTTTTTTAGTGATCTTTAAAAATTGAGATCTTGTATCTGGAATGTTTCTTGATTCTTGACAAAGACTACCTATGGTGGTTCATTTTCAGGAAAAGATTTATATCTAAGTAATTTATTTTTGAAAATAGATCGCTAAACTCGGAGTGAGATTTCGTCCGTTTTTCGGCCGTAAATAATACCCAAATTGGTACACCATATCACAGGCTATGGAAATTGTTTATATTTCTACAAGTTGATGTGCCGATTACAACAAAATATATTGCTTTTATAGATACCACACTGAACTATAATTGTATATATTCACTTTTATATTATCCGAATAGAAGGACCAGAAATCAACATTTAAACATGCTTATATTTAACCCCTTGAAAATCCTCCAAAGTTTCGTCGACATACGTCATTTTTACTGGTTTTCCGATATGTTTACTTTGAAGTCATCGTGTACTCTTAAAGTGTTCCTGAAAACAAAACTATTCGGCAGAAATGCTGTTAAATGTCTATTTTGTTATACTGTTAATGGAAAATGCTCAAATTTAATTTTAAAGTACTATTCGAACAATTTTCTGACCGTGTACCAATTTGGGTAGTGTACCAATTGTGGTAGCGTGACGTTAATCTATATATATGGCACATAAACAGACACTTAGTAAACAACACATCATATATATACAACAGCAGCCTGTTCCTTTATGAATTGGGGGAAAAAGCATTATTCTTAGGTAAAAAATAAATAATAGTCTGTTTAGGGTTGCATGGGCAAAAAAACAAGGGTAGTTAGGTCGTTTGTTTTGTTTTTGTTTTGTTTTTTGTATATTTTTGAGTACCATGTGGTCATGTGATTATGACCCTATTATTGTATGTCAAACAAAGAATTACATAAAAAATGTTCATTTGGAGGCAAATTGTGCTCCATATGATGACATTTAGTGCCAACATGGAGTTGGAAGTCATTTTGAAAGACAAGGAACCTTTTAAAATTCGAAAATCAGCAGGTTTTTTTTCCATCAAAAAGTTTTGGGGTCGGGGGGGGGGGAAGCTAGGGTCGGTCGGGAACCCTAAACAGACATCTTTTATTTTGGCCTTATTGAAATTGGGAATATATTCTTCATATTTTGGTAATTTGGGGGAAGTATGGCACTTTTTAGCTAGAGGAAACAGCGTCCTGCATTCTGCTGTAAAACTGAGCAAAAAATCACTGTATACAGAATTAGTGTTAACAGCATACAAAATATTATGTATACATGTTTCTGTGAATCCTTCCACAAAAATTAAAAAAATAAAAAGACTATAGCCATATATTAGATTTTCAATCATTAAAAGACTCAGCGTTTATAATGATACTTCGTTCACTAGTCCAAATCTAGCATTCAAGGTGTAAAAGACTATTATAATATCTATATATTCATTGACAAATCAAAATCTAACTTTGAAACACGCACAATTTATTGATTGAGAAATACATATGATGAAACATTTTAAACCATAATTTGCTGTTTAAACCTACTTATCATCGTCAGCTTGTTCAACCCTCTCTGCTCCCACTGGTAGAGGCAACAGTGTTTTCCCCTTGGCCTGACCAGACACCACATACACATTGCTTTTCAGATTGTGCACATGACGAGTAACATCGTTTGATACCACCTGGGGCCATTGTTCATGGTTCCTGTCATTTGATAGCAGAGGAACTAGTACCTGTTAGAAAACAGAGACCTGTTTTAGAACATTTACAATTGATAAAGTTTTGTAATCTATAAATAGAAAAATGGATGGATTTATTTCATAATTTGTGAAAAGTAAATAAACATTATTGAATAAATATTACATGCAGTAAATACATCAATATCTCAATAAAATGTGTCCAAACTTGACAACATTCGTAGTATACTAAATGCCAACATGGATTTAGAAAAGGAAGATCCTGTACCACTCAATTACTGGAATGTTTGGAGGACTGGACAGAGGCCTTAGACAATGAAGATTCAACTGACATCATCTACTTAGACTACTGCAAGGCCTTCGACAAGGTTTCCCATAGGAGACTTTTACACAAACTCAAATCATATGGTGTTGGAGGTGCAGTACTAAATTGGATACAAGGATTTCTCCATAACTTTAAACAACAAGTCGTCATCAATTGCTCTATATCATCACAAACACAGGGCACCAGCGGCAGCGGGGTCCCACAGGGGAGTGTAATTGGACCTATTCTGTTTCTGATCTTCATCAATGACTTTCCAAACAACATCAGTAGCTCAACCAAACTATTTGCAGACGACTCCAAAATATACAGGAAAGTTGGAAGTGACTTGGATCGTGATAGCCTACAGAAGGATCTGGACTCTGTATGCATTTGGACTAACACTTGGCTCATGAAACTGAACATCGAACAAGACCAGTTGACTACAAATATTAAGACTGTCACAAATGAAAAAGAGTAATTATTGATAACAAACTGAAGTTCAACGAACACATATCAAAAGGAACTTGGGACTAATATTTAGAACATTTACGTTCATCGACCAAAACATGTTTGTAACACTCTACAAATCCTTGGTAAGACCACATTTGGAATATTCAACGGTCACATGGTCACCGCACTTGTTCAACGTTTTGCAACCAGATTAGTGCCATGTCTCAAAGACCTGAGCTACCCCGAAAGACTGCTAAGTAAGGGGTTCCAACGCTAGAATACAGACGTATCAGAGCGGATGTGATCGAATTATTCAAAATTATGGAGGAAATTGACATTGTAGGTCAGGACAAAATGTTCATAAGAGCGCGCCCGGTTGGAACAAGAGGAAATAGCAGAAAGCTGTTCAAGAGGAGAACAAATAAGGCCATACATAGTAACTTATTTAGCAATAGAGTTGTGGAACAGTCTCCCCAATAATGTGGTCAATTCTACAACTTTGGACACTTTTAAGAACAGACTGAATAAATTCTGGTCGGATCACCCAACAAAATTCCGCGCAAGTTGTTATTCCTGACATTGGTAGGTCTATCTATACGCACCGGAAGTGAAGTGTTTTTAACAAGTATTTTAACATATATTCAAACGCACCACAAGAAGCTCACAGCTTTCAATTGGCGTCATAGATATATGTACTATTTATGAACTATACCCTGTAGTATTATTAGGCAATCATAAAAAAAATACTTTACACCAGACAGTGACCAGTGTTAAAACTTAAAAGCATTTTAGCTCTTTAATTTCTTCATGCATTTCCTCAATCCATAGCCTATTACAAGTCCGACGTTTAAACTATATATGTATGTTATATAATAAAGCATTTTCATCTTTTTCTTATCAATTACCTCATCAACAAATGCAGATAGTTGATCCAATGGCGCATATGACAAATCACCATAAATGAAACTTTTTCTAAAATCTGTGTCTTTCTGAATACCGTCTCGCCCCCTCTTCACGAAGTAGCACGCTTTAGCTTTTGGATTCGTTGGCCATTCATACTGGACACTCAAAGCGCCGCTGCCTGATGATATAACCACCAAAGAAAAAATGTCCGCTTTGTCAAAAAAATCCATGAACATCATCTTTGTTTCCTCTTGACTGTACATTTTTGAAAACTTGTCAGGTTTAACTTTCAGTGTTTTGATCACATAGTCAGCTACGAACTCCACTCGGCTATCGCCGAGTTCTAAATCCGACGCCATTCTGGCCTTTTGGCGTGCGAAATCTCAGTCTATGTAATTTCAAATTCTAAATCAGTTTCATTCCTGCATTCCAATTCTTGAAATCCTAACGACCTGGTTGCCCAATTCGCACAAACTACAATGAATATGTTTTCCTCAACAGATCCCTTCTCTCGTTGGTAATGACAGCCGTTGCTAATAGTTGCAATAAACACGAGACGCAGGTATCGTTACTTTCCGCCGTACTCGGATTGACTTCGGGAATTTCCGTTTGTCTCATTAGCCTTTAAGCATATTTGAGATCGTGATTGCCGGAATGTCACGTAAACTTGAGGTAATCATCAAGACGTTTGATTATTCGGATGCCTCGAGCATATTAGAAAAACACGAAACATTTCGAAGACAACATGGCGCTTGGTGGTTTCAGTCGTCTTTTCCGTTCATGTGGACAAAAAGTTATTGGTTTCATGGGGATGTTTGGCAGCCTGAGGTAACAGTTTCCTTACTTCATATTTCTTATGATTTTATTTCTGACTAGAGGTTTATGCAACACAAACATTCAATTAAATGTAAGAACTTACGAACAAATGAGGACCAATTCTGCAGTCTGTCACGTTAACTATTTTCCTTACTAGTCATTTGGACTAGTGAACCCATACTTTTAATAGTCCAACTGTGAAATTGCTATTCCAAATTAAAGACTGGTCTTTTTTACAGCATGAAGTGTAAATTGTAATCTATATTGGAAAACTATTAGAAATCAAAGCAAAATGTCTCAATAATATAAAGCTAAAGAAACGGAGCACGGAACGTGATAGCCAATTATCTCTAATACAGTAATATGTTTTACGGCACGGCCGTTAGTGAGGGCGGAGCCAGGTTGTACTGTACTTTCAAGCATTGAGTGATGTGTTGAATGACTAAATCAGACCTACATGTATACAGTGTATATTACAGTTACGTTTCCTTTCTTGATTTCTTTTTGGCTGACAAGATGGTTGATATCTTGAAGCTTTCCGCCTAGGCATATGATGACATGACATTAATGTGAGAATGCGAAAGGTTCATTAGACTCTATATAAGTATTTGAATTTGCACCTCTTGAATCCATTGCAAAAATCAAATGCAGCATATTCTACAAAGACATTGAAATAAAACATATTAGGATGGATATTGTTAATCATGTATAAAAGCATAGTTATCTGATATCCACGAAAAGATATACATAAATATATGGGGCAAAGAAGTAATTCCAGCGGCAGTGTGGACAAGTTTAGGTTGTCAAATTTTCGGAGTGGTCCGCTCCTTTCTGAAGACACGGTGAAACGGAACAGTTACATGTACATATACATCATATTACAAGCAGATAGAACTGATATACTGTAATTGAAAATATAGCTATTATATAAAAAAAACAACCCAATAGTCCCCTCAGCTAAAGACAGCCGAAGGCAGCAATTAAGCTCAGAACATCGCGGACAAGGAACACTCGCTCTCCCAATTTCGGTTCGATCCCCAGCAGTGGTGGAAACAAGAGAGTGATGTCTGATAGGGTTAGTTGTTATCCCTCCGATGGCACGGTGGTTTTCCCCCGTGAGTTTCCTCCACCACGAAAACACCATTTGTTCCCTTAGCGGCGTCATAACAAAAGCTCTACAGAGCCTATGTTTGTTGTTGACAATTGTACACGACGTTAAATAAAGATTATTATTTGTTTATTATTTATCATTATTTATAACGCTGATGTAGAGGACCTATTCTTGCGTATGTATATATATCTTTACGAATAAGCCCTTTGGATTACTTCAAACTTAACTTCAATGATTTATAAATATTGTATCCAGAGAGAATTTATGCATAGTATTTTACAATAAATTTTGTCCTTTTTATGTGTAAAAGAAATAATTTGGTAAATGCTATAAAAACTGGATTTATATGAAGTTTCTATTAAAAATAAGAAGAATATGCGAAATCACAATTTTTGTCATTTTTCAATACCCATCATTCCAGCCAAGAGAGTCAATAGATCTATATGTATATATTGTGGATGAATACATTTGTTTCAGCAACTTACTGACTACATGCTTTATATGTCTCTGCTTTATGTATAGTTTTAGCAATAGAGAAAATGTATTGTTTCCTCAATTTGAAATTGAATCAGTTCAGCACATAAAGCTGTATAGAATTGTTTTTTAAATTGTGCAGATTTGTAAAACAGCAGATTTTCTTTTATGAATAAAAAAAAAATAGCTGTGAGATATAGTAATCAAAAATGAAAATGTTACAGTATGGATTCAATTTTTTTCTTGTTTTTTTTCGTGCAAAATATCTATTAAAAAATCCTTCATATTGGTATGTTTTTTTATCCTATCATTTTGCGTCACTGTGATAAACTCCATTTTTGTTGACAACCAGCATGTTGTTTTGTTGATATTCCGTTTTCTAAATATATACCAGTGCAATCTCTACCCAGAGTTATCTTAGGGAGTGCAAGGACCGAAACTCTGCGTGATAGTCTCGTTCAACCAGACTCTTATTGTCTGCGCAAGCGTCTGATTGAACAAGACTACACTGCCGATACAATAATTTTTCTACCATTGGTAACGTTATGTCAAGAGAATTTACATCATTAACCGGAAAGTATCTACTATTTAAGTATCCTATAGTTAGATATAAGTTTTAAATCTTACAAAAATGTAACGTTTGTTCGAGATTCGGCAAACGAGAACTTGTTTCGAGATCAAGATGGCGGAGACTACAGCGCGTGCGACTGGCGGCCATGTTAAGACAAGTTTTTCAGTTCCATAGATATTGTGAATAATCTTTATTTTTCTTACATACGTGTTACCTATAGGGAGAGCTTCGCTCTCGGGCCCGTGAGAGAACTCCGCCCTCTATTATTGTTGTTTCCATCGAGCCTTTAAGCACTAGCCAGACCCGTAAATCTTTCTTTCGTGTTGGAGCAATTTTTTTGTCTGTTCACAGACAGGCTTAGCTGGTTTTGAACCTTTCCTCCAACTTAGCAACATCAGCATGGTTCACGTGGTTATAAACCGGACGTAATGACTATGTTCAGTAACATCGGCATGGTTCACGTGGTTATAAACCGGACATAATGACTATGTTCAGCAACATCGGCATGGTTCACGTGGTTATAAACCGGACGTAATGACTAAGTTCAGCAACATCGGCATGGTTCATGAGGTTATAAACCGGACGTAATGACTATATTCAGCAACATCGGCATGGTTCACGTGGTTATAAACCGGACGTAATGACTATGTTCAGCAACATCGGCATGGTTCACGTGGTTATAAACCGGACGTAATGTTCGGGAACTACTAGAATCTGGAACCCAGTCTCGCGATCGCTCATCGAAACTTCGACGAATACCGTATTTTACGATAAGATTAGAACTTGTGACAAGCTTTATAGTGCAAAATATATACCATTAATAATATTTCCATTATTTTGGAGGAAAATTGGCACTACTCCAGTCGGACTAGTTAAATATTTTCAATACTAGTCCAGACTTAAGGACTTCCCACCCTTCGTAATACACATGTTTTTCTTTTCGTATTCTGTGTCGTCATTTCCGTATTGCATATTTGGCATTCCATTATCGTAGTGTAAATTATAGTAACTCAGGGTAAGCAATAGTACACGTGCGTGACGATGATATGTCAACATCGAAACTTATCTTGGAAATGTGTAATCACACGTACTTCAGAAATAAAGCTCATGATACAAAGACATTAATTAACTCCGGGAAGACACAGACATCAGATCAGAGGACTTACAGAAGGTCGTATATGAGGCGCATGGAATGCCGACTGATGTGTTTTGTTTACCGACCTCACCTGTACGTATCACGTGCTAAAAGTAGTTCACAAGCTCTTGGTCGCTACGACTTTTGTTGTTGTTTCGAGTTACGCTCTGTCAGATAAATTGTTTCACAAATGCAATTACAATAACAAAAATAGTGGTTTGTAAAATATCAAGATTCCTATAAATTGCAAGTGCATGTGCATGCACGTGATAACGGCATACCATGCGATAGCAGCCTAAGGTTACCTATGTACCGGACATGTAAATATAGCATGCGTAAGCGGGCTATGAAATGATGTCCAAAGTGTACATGATTGAGAGTAATTTTGTTCCATAAAGGACAGTAAATTGACAATTAAATATAGTAATTTAATTTATTTCCGTCGTTTTTGGTCTAATAAAGAAAATAAGTGTCATTGTAAAATTCTATCCCTCGGCAAAAAGTTCCGATTCTTTTCAAGGTAGACAACTCTTATCAGGATCAAATTATTGTAAAATGTAAAATACATTAATTATAAAGACTTGGTGTGTATTTGGGTCAATTTTTCACTCATTTTGTATGAAACTATGTGTCCTGTTTGCTTTTAGCTTGTATTTAGTAACTTTTATCCATACAAAAAAAAAAAAAACGCTTTTTGTAACATGTTGTAGATATTTTATGATAAATAAAATATTTGTAAGGCTGATTAGCAATGTTTCTTTTCATTATTTTATTGTTGTAATAGTTTTGAACAATGTCACACACTCAAAAAATGTAAAAGTGTTGAATTTGACAAACAATCAATTTTTCGGTATTTTTTACCAAAAAATCCCCAGTTTATTGGAATGCTTAGATTTTGATAAATCATCTCTGCATAGTGACATAACCATTATGTGAAACTTTCATTGAATTCTGCTGGCTAATTGCGAAAGGGTGGAGCCTCCTTAAATTTACTAGTCGTGAGCATCGGACTAGTGCCTAACGTCGCAGACTGATTCTGGGGAAGAGGCTGGTTACTCTAGTAGTAATGTATGTATGAGAGCGTCTTTGAAACCCTCAACTGTTTCTGCGCGTATCACATTCTCATCAAGCTGGTTCCAATCAAGAACAATTCGTAGAAAGAAAGAATGTTTGAATTGGTTTGCTTTAGCAACACCCTTCTGTTTGGCTTCTATAGTCCTTCAGGGCTCACCATGGACCTAAAAAAATCAGTAGCCAAAAATGTAGCCATGTTTGAATTACAGAAGCCAATTTTTTTTAAACAGTGGCCATACTTTCTCGGCCTCCAACCGTTACGGATCTAGGCCCTCCATTAAAATGATCAAATATTTAATATTTTTTGAAATGCAATACTATTCAACATGATTGAGGAGTACTCTGTTAAATTAATAAAATTGTTATACATTGTTTATAATTAAATCATTAATGTCATATTTTTTTTAATCCTTTCAGATTATATGGCTGTAATTTTAAGAAAATGTGACTTAAAATTTCCACCAGAACTTTTTTTTAAATATTTTCAAAAGAGCAAAAAATCAGACTTTATATCATTTTCTTGACACAGGAAGTGTGAACAAATCTAAGGTTGAAAAGTTTTAAGATATTATTCGCCTTTAGTTCTGTGCCTTTAATCAAAAAATAAATCTAATAAAATCCAAATCAAAAGTAGCCTCAGTGATGCA